GTTCTTGACTTTGCAATCTGCTGGTGTGTACATTTTTTGGGCTTGCTGGTAATGAGCAACCAGACTGGTGCCGCCCACAGAACAGGTGGCGCAAGTATGTGGGTGGTAAACAAGACCGAAAAACAAAAAAGATGGTACCACTCTTGCATGGGCGTCAAGCCTCTTCAACAAGTGCATAGTTGCAGCATTCTTCTCTCCTCTTCTATCCTCTTCTATCCTCTTCTCTCCTCTCTCTCCTCTTCTCTCTTCTCCTGTCCTGTTGTCTCATCTCTCCCTCGGCGCAAGTATGTGGGGTGGAAACCAAGACCAAAAACAAAAAGGATGTGGGGTGGAAACCAAGACCAAAAACAAAAAGGATGTGGGTCGCACTCTTGCAAGCCCAGCAAGCCTCTTCAACAAGTGCATAGTTGCAGCATTCTGCTCTCTTCTTCTCTCCTCTTCTCTCCTCTTCTCTCTTCTCCTGTCCTGTTGTCTCATCTTTCCCTCGGCGCAAGTATGTGGGGTGGAAACCAAGACCAGACACAAAAAGGATGGTCGCACTCTTGCATGGGCATCAAGCCTCTTCAACAAGTGCATAGTTGCAGCATTCTTCTCTCCTCGTCTCTCCTCTTCTCTGCTCTCCTGTCCTGTTGTCTCATCTCTCACTCGGAGCACCATCTCCGTCCGCTTCTCTTGTGCCTCAAAAAGACACTGCCTTCCGTCGGCCAGGGCGAAACTGGATTTGAGGATTGACCCTCTCTGGATAGCTATGATTAGGCTATTGAGGGATAGAGGGCCACAACGTTCAGCCACTCCAACCAGATGGGAAGAAATCTGGCGTCAGCCAGTGTTTGGCCATCATCAGATTCTGGACCATACACGGCAGATCTAAATGGCTGAACTGGATAAAGAAAGGGATTTATACAGTTGGGGACTTATGGGACACACAAACAGGAAACTGGGCAACAGTCGATACACTCAAAAATAGAATGGGCCTGATCAGAAATATGGCCCGAGGCCTACAGCAGATCCAAGAAGCGATGCCGCTTGCTTGGATTCGCACTCTCAAGGCGGGGCCAACAATCAACAAACACGATTGGGTAACAACAGTGGACGCCCTGCCCCTTCCCATGGCGGTCTATAAAGTACAAAGGGTGAGGGCCGCTGGTGCCAATCTACGGGCTTACTGTCCAGAGAACCCAGGAGAGCGATGGTCCAAACTGCGGAGAAGTGAGGACCTGGACAAGTCCTGCCCACTGCCCCTGCTTGTTAGACTGAGAGTGGTGGATGATCCGAAGGATGGCCTTTTCTTATATGAACCATCCACCCCTCTTCTCCTATTGCCCTTTGACCCAGCAGAATGGGAATGGAGAGAGCGGGTCTCACACCCCATGCCCTTTTGGCAGTACACCGTCAAAAAGGGATATAGGATGGGCCGCAAGCACGTCCCGGTCATGGACAGCATTTTAAGGAGATGGGAGAGGGACTCCCCTCTTACAAGACAGGACCTTCAAGACCTCAAATGGTCCTCCTATGCAAACACCAAACCGACAAACCATAGAGCTTTACAGAGGCAGATCATTCACAGATGCTTGCCGACGCCGCATAGGACTGACCTTGAGGAGAAGGGGACACTCTCCCCTATATGCTCATACTGTACCCGCTCCTACCCCAGGAAGAGGGCTACCCTCGAGCACTGTTTGCTCGAATGCCCGATGGTCTCCCAGCTGTGGAGTTGGTGGGATGCTGCTTGGCACTACCTCACGGATGAGCATCTGCCTTGGGACACCCGCTCCCTACTATTAGAGGACCTTTCCCAGGCCGGAAACGCATGGACACCTTTCATGTCCAATCTTTTCTCCTACGCTAGGCTGACAGTCCTTATGCAGGCCTGGAGGATGCGATGCTCGTTCCAAAGGGACCAACACACGTTTGGACTTATGCAGGCACGAATGGCAATAATAGATACCATTACAGCCAAGACTCAGCAAGCCCACAAAGAACTGCGGGAAATGCTAAAGTCAGAACTTGAGGCAACCAAAAGAAAGGAACTGACGGATAACTTCATCCTAACATGGATCGACAAACGAAACAGGCTTTGTAGCCTGGACCACAATGCCTCCCTGCAGTGGCAACCTTGGCCAACAACTGAGTGCCAGTGGGAACGCCTACCGCAATCTCACTTTCCAGTGGACTATCAACCGACGAACTTCGTCCTCATACCCAATTGAAGTCTAGATGATCAACCCGCCTACCCTCTCCTGTCCTCCCTTGAGCCCTTCACCCGCCCTGGTTCCCTCTGCGACACCCCGACCACGCCACTTCACCCACCACCACGCCCATCACTCCCGCCTTACACTACCCCTTCCCACCCCTCCCTTTGCCGGTCAAGGACAACTGACACACCAAGAGGATTGGCAGGGTTCAATTGAAAGGGAATCCATCAGCAAGAGAGTGGGAGCTGGGCTACTCGGGATACAGAGTGGTGTTCGTCAAAGGAGAAGCTAACGGAGCGGGGAGAGCCCTTGTCACAAGAGTGGTCTCCTGGACAGGATCAACAAAGACTGCACACAGCTTCTGCTCTTCTGGTGCATCATCCACTAAACGAAGGGTGGGGATGGGGGAATGGTTGGTTGGCTTGCCCGGTCACAGGGTGTCCACGGGGTCGGGATCGACAAGTACTGTACACAGGCTCAGCCCATCTGGGGCATCATCCAGTAAACGAAGGGAGGGGGTGGGGGAATGGTGGCTGCCTTACCTGCTGGTCTTTTATAGGCTCCAGTGGGTAAGCAGGTCGGCTGCAGGAAAACACGATAAGTGTAACTCCTAACATGCAAACGGTCCTGCGGCGCACTGCTATTTACAAATGCAGTTATTTCTATTCATGCACAACTGCAACAACAGCAACAGCAAGGTGGGCCTATAGCCTGCAGTCCAATGTCTAGGGACACAAATAACCACATTGTCACCCTGTATACAATCACAGCTACATCTAATCTTTCCTTTTATATAAGCACCGCTAATCTCACACCTGAAACAACAACAACCACAGCCACCTTCTATCATTGGACTGTCATCTGCACGGGCACTTCGGACAGCTGCACAGTCATCCACAGTGTTTAGATGTGTATGTCAACAACATTTGCAACTTGTACAGCACTGCTAGATGAAATCTCTAGGTGTGCACTACATAGATACAGCAGCATATGGCAATGACAAGAATGGTAGATAGATGGTACATAAACAACTAAAAGAGTTGATAAAGCGCTGGGTCATTCACACCCCAGTCCTTCATGATTACTGACAAGCCATACTCAGACTTCCTCTGCTTCGACGCTGGACCCGATTTCCGGCAGGTGCTGCTCCCCACCAATAGATGGAGCCTCCCCGACGCTGCTAGTGGGGTCTGCTCTTATCAGCACCCCTAGCAGACGATCGGGTTGTTTTGGGGAAAAAAAAAAAAAAAAAAGGAATCACACGCAGCCCATGGTGCACACATTGAACGACATTGATAATCAGATCGTATGCTCAAATCCTCACGGAATCAGGACATGTGGTCTGTGCGGACAGAGGCATGCACGACCAACAAAGCGGTGCGAAAGGACAGGAAGGCAAGGAACAGCCAGATGGAGACTCTACTGCTTTCAAGAGTTCCTTAAAAAAAAGAAAAAAAAGAAAAAAAAAAAGAAAAGAAAAGAAGAAGAAGAAGAAGAAGAAGAAAAAGGCACAACTGGCCGAGTGCCAAAGGTGACTCTCATATGTCTGTAATCTAGCCTCTACAGCAACCTCGGCTTCAAAAAAAAGGTTCCAATTGCGCTGTTCGCTACTG